GTAGTACCTCCTTATATCAGTTCCTTTATACACAGTCGGGCCCCTATTCCCCGTCTTCTCTCTCTAGCTCCAATTTGAACTTTTGCTCTCCTCCTTTAAAAACTTCTAATACTGCTTCTGTATGTAGCGGGATAGTTTGATGTAGATCCTGGTGAATATGTGACACCTGTTCATTGCTGATTCTCTTCTGAATTTAAGTGACTACAACAGTAGTAGAGAGTTTTTCATCATCAGTGTGAGAAGCTGTTCTGCTTCACCCAACTCGTGAAAAAGCACTATATGTGCCCTTCAGAATCTGCAGGTTGACTGGTTCATGTATCATCTGAACCAGTTAATTTTTAATAGAAATCTCGAAAAGAAGCACAACTGATGAAGTGCTGGCACTTCACTCTTTCCCTTCTGCGAATGAGAGTAGACTTAATAAAATAATGGATTAGACGTACTTTCTGGTCTCACAGAAGATGTTCTGGAAAAAAACAAAAATGTGAGCCCGGCCAAGGGACCGAACCCTTGACCCCCACACCCATGAATCAACTTACCTACACCATCGCAAATTTATCACTACCCGCTGTTGAACTTAACCTGAGCTGCACAGGGGTGCTAGGCGGGTGCTATGCTGGAATCCCCCCCCTAACTCCTCCTAGAGAATCGTTCCGCAAATTCTGAAAGCAGATTTGAGTTCAGTGCCCGAGACGCACACGCCAATATGCATCCTGAATGGCCATGGCGACCTGTTGACCTTTCCTGGTCAGCATTCTTGTGATAACCGACTTATTTTGCTAAAGAAATAGGCTTCCCTCCTCTCCTTGAACTCTTACTTTGCTCTCTTTCTCTGCACTTCTTGTTATTTCCAGACAAGCTGAACAATTCCTATTACTCTCGCACACCTAGCATGCCTTGTTGAAGGTTTCTACAGAGAAATGTCTCTGAGGAACACTTGAACCCTCACCGCCCACACAGATGTGAAGATGTTCAGCGACCTGTTAACACTCATTTTCACCATTTCTCTAAGCAAATACCTCAATCCAGCGGAACACTTTCTCCGGAACACTTTCTCCTCAAACTGTTAGTTTGCTGCTCTCCCTCTATTCACCGGAAATGGGAATCTTTCGCTATGTATGTGTTGGCCTGGCCCTAATAAAAGTTCGAAACCTGACCGTCTAGACATTTCTACCCTGCCCGTTCCACTTTGTTTCATGGTAATGCTTCAGCCGGGACCCCGTTTGCCCAACGCGCGCTGTAACACGGAAGTACGAGGATCGAATTATGATACAGGGCACCAGGTCTCAAGGTCTTGCCAAGAGGTGCTCCTCCTGTCTGTTTTTTCACTGCGCCACCGCGTCCTAAAATAATTCCATAAGGGACGTGGAAAGCTGAGCAACCCAACAAGGACCCCTTAAATGCTGCTGCTTACATGCCGGCCGCTGGCCTTCCTGCTCTTTACAAACACAACCTCCTGCTCTCCATCGCTGAAGTAGCATATGTCTTTCATGCATCTGTCGCTTGATAAACGTCCTGCTCCTACATGCACAGCGATGCAGCAGTAGGGCCCTTCAACTGATATCACTAATTTTGATGACGAAAGATGATTCCAGTGTCACTGATGAAGTCATATACTGCTGACTATCACACGACAGTAAACATCCACTTTTTATCTGGAACGCAGTTGCTTCAGAGATCAGACCTCTGTTTGTTACTATGGGTAAGGGTGGAAGAATAGTTCTGATGAACGACTGATTTCGAGGGACTAATACTCAGAGTGTACTGTTCGACTTGGAGGAGGGAGGATTTGGCACTTCCGCTAGTTTCGTTTGCTGATCCATGGTAGCTAAGGATTCTTATGAGCTACGTTGCTAAGGTACTCTCTAGGTGGTCCAGACAAAGCTCCACTGAGTACCACTCAATTATACCCCTAGCTATATTGCCTATCAGGGTATATCAGTCATAGTATAGCTCATAGCATCAGTGCTGCACAAAGTTTTATAGCGGGTCTGTCGTTCTCAGTGTGTTAGTTTCGCCTTCTATCTTGTATGGGGCTAATTGCCCACTATTGCTGCGAGGAGTGTTATGAATTCCATGTCGAACAGGCGAAATATACCCGCACATTCAGCGGATTGGGTACATAGCAGGAGATACTTCGAAGTTAGTCCCGTCGTAGCATGTCGCACCAAGCACGCATGCAAGAGAACATTTCAGCGGAAAACTTATTCGTGAATCACACCAACAGCAACAAAGAATCCATCTCCTGTAATGAACTTGTATCGCAGTGTGAAAACATGGATGTATATTGTTGCATTTACCTTCTTATCCACTGCAGCCGTGGCACGAAGCAAACTGGTGGCTAAAAGCTTGCGATCTTTTATTAGGGGAAACTTACGTAATGTAGAACTTGAGGAAAAAAAGCCTTTGCGTCCAACGCTCCCAAGTTTAGGTGATTCGTTGTTGTCAGTCTTGAATATGCAATATGCAACTCGCGCTCACTTGACCGGTACCCCTCTCGTAAATAAGATCCCGACAGAAGTTCCGAGAGAGGAAAAATCCAAGCTAATCAGTTTTCCAGCTTCGTCTCATACGCGACTGTTGGAGTGAAAAGCCGGCAGACAGACCAAACGGAGATATACTGTGCAATATGTTGAAGGTATGAGTTTTGCCGAAGAGTTCAGGGTCTGTGATATGGCAAAAAGCAAAACATAAGAGGAGAGTTCGTGTACATTCAAGACGATGATGCCCGATCAAAAAAGCAATCTGATGGACCATATGTTCGACATGCTGGAAGACTACACAACGACTCTTGAGTTAGACGTGGAAGAATGTTGCCGAGGTAAGATCTAGATTCTATTCTTTTTCGAAGTTTCAAAAGACATGCTTTACACTTATCTGAGACGGATATTTACCAACTGCGCGGGTGAAAGGATGGCAGCCAAGTTTTGAAATGGACGGTTCTGATGACTGGATGCCGTTCAGGGCACATCGTTGTTGGTGAATCCCCAATTTCAGAAACGGTGTAGTTACGTCAACTAGAAGATGAAGCGCCAGTGGGTAGTGAAAAGCTGGATGATGTCGTTAAACAGGAGCTCCATTGCTGATGCTGTTGCTGTCGATTTGAATAGGATCGCCTAGGCGTCATTCACCAGGAAATTCTACAGGGAAAAGCCGCCGTCTGTGCAGAGGAGCGCTTGCAGTAGCTGAAGGGAATGATGTAAAAACACACAGCCTTACGATTACGGGGTGACGAGGAGGATCCTACTGTTGCGCGACAACGCGATACTACATACGGCAAAATCGGCTTCTCCAAATGCATTCTTTTGAAGTTGAAGTTCTTCCTCATCCACCGTATAGTCCAGACATTGCACCTACGCACCATATCACTTTTTCCGCGCCTTAGTCGCCTTAATCATCTTCGAGGGCGTAGTTTCAACAACAGGGATGACCAAGGAGCGACCTAGATAACCTTCGAGTCATAACCTTGCTCCTTCTTTGAACGTCGGATTAAGTGCATTGACCGACGACGGTAAATATTAATGGTGCTCATGTTGTGGATTGATAGTCGTAAATGGAGAGTAAATTTCATTAAAGCAAAAGTCGAATTTTGACACGAACGATTATATGGTTCAGCCTGTTTTCGAGAACTTCCTCTTTCTTGATTTCCACCTCACTTGGAGATTTTCAGGCAAGTAGCTGATCGCTTGAAGCTCGGCCAAACAGTGGAACCAGAGAATTTCGGAAGTGTCACAGTGTTTTTCTCCGATGTTGTCAAGTTTACTCAGTTGGCCGCTAAGTGCACACCTTTTCAAGTATGTTATTATACAGGGTGAGGCAAATTTGTAGAAAGAAACAAGCGCAGACGCTGGAATTTTGACCGCTAAAAGGCTCTTGATCCTCAAAAAATTTTACTGTTCTTTTTATTTTATTTCCGATGGAGTTTACTTCCGACTACTCGTTTTCACGAGAAGATGAAGCCATCGCAGTGTCCCAGCTCTATCTTTGAATTTTCTGACCGACTAAAATCTATCTTCATCTGAATCTGACAACAGTTGCATTTTTGGAAGGCATCCCGAGGGTAATTTACCAAGATTATTTCTGGTCGCGGACCCTTTAAGATCATCAAAAGGGTAGATGACGAGCTGTGTGGGATTTCAGCACGGTCGGTATGGAAGGTGAGAGGAACATCTAGTTGCGCGATATAGGTGCGAAGGGCTGTGAACGACCACTCAGAAAGGAGGTCATACATGCGAAGAAAAGGCCAGCGAGGGAATTTAACGAAACCTGCATTCTGTAAGTGGTGCAAGACGAACAACTTTATTTGGTTTTTAGTGGATATTGCCGAAGCTGATCATATGCATGAACTCTCACTAGTGCAAAGTTCCTTCGAACCTGACGCTGCAGAAGAATGAGTTGAACACTCCTAGCCTCCTCGCCACATTTAACGGGAGCGTCTCTGAGCTCGCGTCGGGAAGCTGCTCAATGCTATGAAGGAAGGGAGTGTTATTACATAGATTAGTTTTGTTCCTGGGAAGTGAATCACTGCTAGCTGTTTCCTTTAAGCGTGCTCATACCACGTTTTAATGTTTGTTTCCATAAATTTGCCCCATCCTGTATGATGGAAAGAGCTTATGGTTAGAATCCTTTGCGACGAATTGTTCTTTATTATAGACTGTGAATCTTCTCAACGATCTATACAACGGTTTTGACTCAATCATTGAGGTTAGACTTGTGAATTTTCTCTAACGATCTAATACAACGGTTTTGACTCAACTCATTCAGGAAGCACTCTGTTTATCAAAGTATAATACGCTCCCCAGTTTATAGATCCATAAGTTGGAGCTTCGTAACACGCGCCATCTTGAACCGTCCTTCCCTGCTTGAAGACAACATAGGCAAACAAAACATGAAGAACACTTTCAGTGCGGAACTGGTAGCCTCTCTGAACGAGATGTCCAGACTACGAAAGCGATATTCTGCCACCTCCGGCTCACAAATCCGTCATCCAATGCTAATATCATCTGATCTAATAGTGAAAAAAAGTCTAAAAGCTGAACACATGACAAAAATACCCTCTGAATTTTTGGGCGGTACAACCATGGAGAAACAGCCAACCATGGAGTGCACCTTCATCATCACCGTGAGGCTGCGAAAATGGAATTTCAGAGACTGAAGATCAGACTTGCTTTGTACATGGAAGGAAGCCTACTACGAATCGCGCGCGAGGACTGTCATTGAACGCAACAGGCACGACTGCTGGAGGTAGCTCGTTGCCAGGGCCGTTGGATAGGGTGAAAGGAGGCGTTTGACGAAAAGTCCTCCTTCAGCCCATGAAGCCCCTCAAGGGGTCTTTTGGCCAGACGTTTTCGCAGCTGATCCACCGATGACGGTGTGAGCAATCGACCGCCTCCAGCACGCGTACATTGCCTTCATTTGACAGACAGGGTACAGCATCGTTGTGTCAAACCCATGGGGGGGGGTCGTACTTTTGCTCTGGGGAGGGGGTCGTATTTGGAAGACAAATTTATTTTGATAGTTGATTTTTTCTTGTGGAAAAGGGGGGGGGGTCGTAGTTAATTTTTTATATGCACTATATGCATTTTGTACGCCCGTGATTATTGGCAATAGTAATTGTATACCCCCCCCCCCGCTCACAACTTTTACGCCGACTATATACTCATTGCTCGTCGTCTCGGCGAAGAGGCCGTGTAGGCGGTGGAGGGGGGTCATACCTGGACCCCATTTGAAGGGGGGGGGTGTACTCTCACACCGACAATTTCGCGATCCCCGTGCTGTAGCCCTGTTGACAATGTGTTTTTGCAGTAGAAACGAGGGGTGACTGGGCTTCTCTAGATGAGAGAAAGGCCACAATAAAATTCGTTGTTCAACTTTAATGACTACTAATATGAGTTTGCCAGAGGTCGCACGCTTCCATTCAACGTAAAAAAAAAGATGTTTTGCTGACTGCTGACACTTTCCGACAGCTTCATTCCCCAATGAGTCTGGGAAAGATCGCTAGATCAAGCATCAGCAGCGATCAGAAAGCATTAAATTGGGGGACACCCCTCTCATTCCCTTGTGCTCCCCTGCGTTTAAGCAGAATTCTATGAATCCCACTGTCTATAATAATACCTAAACCAGGGGAAGATATCCAGTTTCTTCACAGTGCATCAGAGCTAGGGAGAGCGCCGTTGGTAGAGTCCCATAGTGAGGGCAAGGGTGAGGCAAGGGTGAGTCAGTACTGAAGAGCAGGTAAGGCAATGGCGTTGATGTATTATTGCGGGTCATTAGGTCCGTTTCATATGACGGGCAAGCGTCATATGAAATCGCCCCTTCAGCCCACCCCAGGGTGGAAGGCAGAATGCAATGGGCTCACACAGAAAGACTAATCTGGTAATTAAACCAAACTACTGCGCTCGCTGAGTTCTAAGGGAAATATGCCGCCTTGTAAAGATAATCTCTTGAACTACTCTCTCGAGCGAAGTCGTCGCGCTTCTATATTCCTTCCTCAAAAGAGCTTGGAGCGCAGACTACCAAAGCCACTGTGAGATAGTCTTACAGGGCACTCTCGAGATAGTTTCCACTAACAAGGAACCCCAACAGGTCGACCCGGCCATTTGCAATGAGAAGTAGGTATATGGACGTATCTCGAGCCGCTGAATCCAAATCTACTCTCCGTTTTTGCGGAACGATTCTCTGAACGGAGTTACGGACCATCAAATCTTTGCTCGTTGTATAAGTTGAGAGGGATGGTTGCTCACGGCAGGTCGCCGATGGCCTAGTGGATAAGTGCACTGATTCAGGAACACGATGTCGCATGTTGGAATCCTTGACACTCCGAACATTTTTGCTTTTGTTCAGAACATTCCATATGAGTCCCCAGAACACTTCTGTTTGGCCAGTTGACCTGAATCTCTGATTATTTGACAATAGAAGCGATCATTGCTCCATCTGTTACACCTTCTGAAAACTTGAATGAGAACTCCAATGAGAATGACCGTTTCTAGAGCTCGCATCGAGGAATGGAGAAGGTCGCCACTACTACTAGGGAAGGTCGTCAGGTCCAAGTGGCCATTCGTAATGAAATATAGTTCACTAGACGTGGTTTTGGACGCTGATCTCGAATCTGCCTTCGAAATTTGCAGAACGATTCTCTGAACGGAGTTGCATTTAAATTCTGTGGGGAATGTCTCTTTTAAGTCTAGAATGCATTCAAACGTCAAATGGGTGCCATATTCGTGTTCAGGGAGCAAAATTACCCTGGGTTTCTAGCCAGATATGAGGTCTTGGACCTTAATCTTCAACAAGTGACTAGGGCGAGGTTGATCCGATGGTGGTACACACTAGTTCCAGGCAGCTCTCATTGCTGATTGCCTGTCTTTGGCCGGAATTTTCTTCTATATACCAGGAAAACTGGAGCAGTAACAAAATGAATGCGTAAGAAGGTGCAAGACAAGGCGTTGTGCAGGCAAATGTATGCTGCTGAATAGGTGTGAACATCAGCTGAACTAAAAACGCCATGGTTCAATTATGGAAATCAGGTCAAAATGCCAGATTTGGCTAGCAACTTGTGTATAAAGGTATTTTGACCCGCTGAACACGAATATGGCACTCGCTGAGCGTGAAAACGCCTGTATCGCGCACGACGGGCACCTGTACACCCCAATATTTTCCTGCACTACAAGGCTTCTACAAGGTGCCTAGGCGCATTCATAAATGGACGCAAAGTTTTCTTCAGGCAAGATTAGGTGAGCACTGAAGTAGTAGTGAAAGCAAAACCACATTTTGCCACGTTTGCGCAGGAAGCAAAAAAGTGAAGCCCAGCAGGGATTCGATCCCACGACCTGTTGCGTGGTAAATGCGGTGGAAAAACCCCATACTCCGCTTCAGAGAATGCTTTTCCGCAAAAAACGAGAGATAATTTTGGATTCAGCGGCTCAAGAACCGGTCACATACTGTACTAATCATTACGACGGCTGGTCGAACCTGTTGGGGTTCCTTGTAGGCCCTTGATTAGAGGGAGGGACACGCAGGAGCTCTCACTCGAGCCTACGGCCTTAATTAGAGGAAGGAATACAGAGGCGCTGGCGAGTGATTCCCCACCCCTCCTCCCAGCAGTACATCTACGTTAATGCCGAACCTGGTGCTTTATATCGCCGTTTTCCCTTCCACAAACACCGCGCTTCCAAGGAACTTACAGTTTTCCTGAGAAGGGGTACCTGCCGTCCAGAAAAGTCACTCGAAAATAGCCTGCTCTGATGCAAAATAGTAGCGCTAGCCGGGTATTCTATTTCACAGCGCTGGATGGAAAGGCTTTGTGCCGACGCCCGTGATCTATCCTGATCAGATCATAGCGATAGAGCGCCCCTAATGTGGTCTGAGACCATTCAAACAGCTTGGGTTCTTCTGTGTTTTGAAGTTTTTAATAATGACGATTAAGTGGTAGGTTGACATTGGTGATGGTTCCGTGTGCCGTCCGTCTGGACTTCCCAGTGACGAATTTTTGGGTAAATGCGCACATCAAGGAAATCTCGGAACTGTCATTGTCGTTCATGAAGTTTGTCGAGGAGTTCAGGGTGCCGGCTCTACCAAAAGAAAGGGTTCAACTCCGCATTGCGTCGAGTATCAGGTGACTGTACATTTCGAGCTTCAGCATTTAAGGCAGCGCTCAGACTCCGGCGAAGTTCCGCGAGTCGCCGCGCGTCGGTCGCTGAACGCGACCTGTAGCTGCGCTGTCCACGCGCTTACAATGCTACGACACCAGTGCAGTCTCTCCTACCCTTTTATATCTAACGGTTTTTTGGACTGTTTTCCATCCTGCTCCATCTTGAGCTTCTCTTTTTGACGTTGATACTCAATCTCAGTGTAGTTTTTGGGTTTTTTAATTTGAAAGGGCGCCCCTTTGCATGTGATGCGTTGTATTGTTCCCAGTGACCCGATAACAAATTCTTGTTGTTCCTTTGCAAGTTCTCAAAGTGCATGTGAGGACCAGAAAAGGTAGTTCGTTCTTGCCGTGCACTTTTAGGAAAGTACGAGAGGAAGCGAAAAGTCGTTTCATGAGACTTAACGATGCGCTCGGCGATTAGAAAACGATTTACGTTTGCGATAGAAAGGCCCTGTCTAGACATGTTTCGCTTGTCAGAACAAACATTACAGTTCATACGAGCACAATAGAGTAAAAATTTGAAAGGTCATCCCCGCGCGGATTCCATCCACCAACCTATCGCTCGCCCTTGCTTACAAGGGAACCCCAACAGGTCAATCCGGCCGTTTGTAATGGGATGGACATATATGGACGTGTCTTGAGCCGCTGAATCCAAATCTGCCCTCCGAATTCGCGGAACATTCTTCTGAAGGGAGTCCACAGACATTAATCTGTTGCTCTGTTTGCAGGAACAAGTTGAGAACGATAGGTACATGCGGCAAGCGGTCGATGGCCTAGTGGATAAGCGCACTGCTTCAGAGACGCGAGGTCACATGTTGGAATCCTTGACTCTCAATTGCTTTTGTTCAAAACACTTGATATGAGCCCCCAGAAAACTTCTGTTTGGCCATTTTACCTAGTTCTTTGATTATTTGCCAACGGAAGGCGGCCGATTCTCCATTTCTGGTTCCTTTTGAAAACTTTTATTATGAGGATAACCGTTTCTAGAGCTTGCATCAAGGAATGAGGATCTTACGGTTTGAGAGCACATGTGGTATTCTTCCACGAAATGATAGAAACAATACAAATTCTCACAATGAGCACAGCGAATGAAAAAGTACTCTGCACACACGGTACAGTTGCAGTTCTCCACCAGTCCAGAGGGGAGCAGTACTAAAATTTGTTTCCGATTTTGAGCAATATTCTGCCTACGTGATCTGTGATCTACGACCCACTCCTTTTCTGTGATGCCATTACTCTTCGCTGATGGCCAATTATTAAAGCAACTTTTCGTGGTATGCAGGTCCGTTGCACGCAATCCATATAATCTATTGTTATTGATTTGTTTAATATCTACACTTCAGTAGGAACCCAGCGGAGTTTTCCTTTCAAAGGGCATTTCCAAGCTGATAACTTGTTGGTTCGAGCGAGCAAAACTTCATATAATGTCTAAACAGCTTATGCTGGATTGGATTGAATCCTGCGTGGCCGCTCCAGGGTCCCCCAGTCGACGCTCCTCATGTCGACTCGTGGAGTTCCTTTAAAGATCCATCGATCTGCTCTGCCACCTAATAAATGTGTGAAGGTACTCAATATACCACCAGGTGCTACGTCCTTGATCCAACCTTTAGACGTGTACTTCTTCTTACCGTTTAAAGCTATGTATAAACGCTTCACTTCTTATGTATTGGCCCATAATATAATTTTTCTATACATCAAAGGGACTCCATTCTCCGTCTTTTATCTCTTATCTATTCTCAATTTTGCTCACCTAGATTTAAAACTTCTTATCCTATTCTTGGCTCGGCTGGATACTTCGATGCGCATCCTGGTGAGTTCGAAACACCTCTTCAGTACTGCTTCCCCTCTGGACTGGTGGAGAACTGTAACTGTACCGTGTGTGCAGAGTACTTTTTCATTCGCTGTGCTCATTGTGAGAACTTGTATTGTTTCTATCATTTCGTGGAAGAATACCACATGTGCTCTCAAACCGTAAGATCGTCATTCCTTGATGCAAGCTCTAGAAACGGTTATCCTCGTAAAACAAAAGGAACCAAAAATGGAGAATCGGCCGCCTTCCGTTGGCAAATAATCAAAGAACTAGGTAAAATGGCCAAACAGAAGTTTTCTGGGGCTCATATCAAGTGTTTTGAACAAAAGCAAAAGTTTTCGAGAGTCAAGGATTCCAACATGCGACCTCGCGTCTCTGAAGCAGTGCGCTTATCCACTAGGCAGCTTTCCGCATGCTCTTATCGTTCTCAACTTGTGCAAACAGAGCAAAGATTAAATGGTCCGTAACTCCCTTCAGAGAATCGTTCCGCAAATTCGGAGGGCAGATTTGGATTCAGCGGCTCAAGACACGTCCATATATACATCTCATTGCAAATGGCCGGATCGACCTGTTGGGGTTCCCTTGTTAGATCTATAGAAGTGCACAGCGAGAAAATCACTGTTTCACAAAGATCTCAGCATAAACCACTGCAAAATGCAACAAATCGTTTCGAGGATGGGTTTCAGTACCTGATAGGTTTTCGTAGGGGGAGTCACTTTAGGATACCCCTTCAATTTCTTGAGGATAGCACAAGGTCTTGGAGCCATAGAACCCCTTGAGCTGTAAAAATATGAAGGACAACACTTCAGTCATTGTATCGTTGCTTTCTAGAGTCTGCCATGTATTGTGCTTTTATTCAGGAACCTAGTGGCCCTTCCGACTGTGACATGGCCTATATACAGGGGGGGGCCAAAAAAAAGTCATTTTGCCTCCATGACTTTCAAGGCGCTATAAGTTACACTTTATTAAATTTTTATCGGACATTTTTACTACCATATTAAAGAGCACATTAAATACTATAATGATACTCCGCCACAGCCTTCTGGAGGAGCGCCATCGAGAGATTCGGCCGCGCGAAAGTGAGTGGGTACCGGAGTTGAGCGAGATCGTTGATTTCTCCGCCACTGTAGACCACCCTGTTGAG